TTTCGAGAATTCCTCTCGGTGGCTCAGCAGTAAGCTTTAGGGACTTATATCGCTCAAAACCGGGTTTCGACACCCATGGTGGGCACAACAAAGATGGTCCATTGTGTAAATGTGTTGCTTTGTGCTTAAAACCAATAAACAAACAAGTATACATTATCTACACCGCCGTATTCATTATTCTTACTAATCAAACCTTTGGTTTTTAAGTCTCAAATAAGGAGTTTATTTTTTACATTTTACATTTTATATATTGGGCTCAAGCTTTTGAGAAACAGTTGGCTTGTTTTGTTAAATTCGTCAGTTTCTGTTGTGTATATGAGGTCATAATATGCTAATATTTTAATCAGCTATTAACTGTTATAAGCATGAAAATAAAGATTTTCTACATCCAAACTTCGAATGAATGATCTTGATATGTTTGTATTTGTTTTAGAAATTTTGTATTCGTTTTCGTTGTGAGAAGAGAGTTTCACAAATATAGACCACAAACACTATTTGTAATAAATCGTCGTGTGAAGAGAGTTTCACAATATAGACCACAAACACTATTTGTAATAAAATAAAGCAAATAAGCTTTTCAAATTACAATAATTTAGATCGAAAAGATATCAATACTTAACTTGATGGACTATTTATATGTTACTAGGAAAGAACTATCGAATCTTAGAATAAAGCGAAATTTAAAGGTCTTTATATGATAACATTATGAATTCATTTGGGTATTGATTTGGGCTAATTATTGGGTATTAATGTGTATATCTTATTGGGTATTAATGTGTATATCTTATTGGGTGTTAATGCGGGTTTGTTATTAGGTATTAATGCGGGTCCGTTATTGGTTATTAATGTGGGTTAGTTAATGGGTATAATATGGGTTTGTTATTGATTATTAATGTGAGTTCTATATTAGCTATTAATACGGGTTTGTTTCTGGGTATTAATGTGGGTTAGTTATTGGGTATTAATGTGGGTTAGTTATTGGGTATTAATGTGGGTTAGTTATTGGGTATTAATGTGGGTTAGTTATTGGGTATTAATGTGGGTTAGTTATTAGGTATTAACATTAATACCCAATAACTAACCCGCATTAATACCCAATAACTAACCCACATTAATACCCAATAACTAACCCACATTAATACCCAATAACTAACCCACATTAATACCCAATAACTAACCCGTGTGGGTCAGTTATTGGGTATTAATGTGGGCCAGTTATTGGGTATTAATGTGGGTTAGTTATTGGGTATTAATGTGGGTTAGTTATTGGGTATTAATGTGGGTTAGTTATTGGGTATTAATGTGGGTTCGTTAATGGGTATTAATGTGGGTTAGTTATTGGGTATTAATGTGGGTTCGTTAATGAGAAGTGAGCCATGCTGTATAACACTACAATCTAGCGTGATAAGAGTTCGGGATGATCCAAGGCTAGCCTGATATTAACCTATGTAGCTTGATTTGCTTATAAACTCACGCACAAAAAAACAAGTCCATTCTACTAACTCTCACGTGCGCGTTGGATGAACAAATAAAACTTCTTTATTCAGCTGAAGTCGTGCTTTCTTATAATCAATCAATGAAGAATAGATTTATGTAAAATGAGCAGGTGTTCAGAACCTCAAGCTTTCAGTAAGTGCTTCCGGAGTGAGTGAATAAAATCAATAAAGAGAGTGAAAGAAGTTTACTAACTCTTAGTCATTATCAGAGAGAGAGAGATAACTTATTGGACTGATAAATATTAATGACGAGGTTAATTAAAAAATAAAAACTATGCACAGAGTATATAAGCATACCAAAGTAATTTAAGATTTTTTTTGCAAGCTACATATTTGTTTTCCCGAGTAAATAATTTTATTTTAAGAGTGACAGGTTCATAATTTAGAACGCCATCTCACGTGTAAATAGAAAATTATAGTTTTACGTCATACACCCACCCCACCCCCGTCTTCCTAGGTGTCAGTACCTTTTCCACGTACATAATTAGATTTTCCTGGTGTCGTTAGTTCGTGCTAATGGCCTGGTGGTTAAGGCACTCGAATCGCAATCTGAGGGTCGCAGGTTTGAATCCCCGTCATTTAAGTAAGTCGAGGGAGCGTTATAACTTGGCAATCAATCTCGCTATTCAAAAAGTGCAAAGATTGGCAATGGGTGATGTTGACCAGCTGCTAAATTAGAGACAGCAAGCGCAGATAGCCTTCCTGTAGCTTTGTGCGAAAGTAAAAACAAACCCAAATATTGCTAGATCCTGACCAAGAGGTTCGAGATGGGTCTGTTCTGATAAATAATTCATCTTTTTCTTGACGTACGTGCTTCAAATTGGGATTAAAAAAAACCTTGAATGATTAATAAAGGTTCCAAGAGTATTACATCAAATGCCCTTAGCAGTCTTTAAGTGCACTCGATCCGATAATATGATTTCATCCTTCTCCTTCGTAACATGGAGCTTGATAAATATTATAGCAAACACAAGCCTTACCAGGCTTAGATTGACATGATAAAGTAGTCCTTAATGGCCAATCCGTATCATTTCCATTAAAATGTAGTTTTTATTAATGAATGGGGTCTTGTATCAGGCCAGCGGTATATTTTATGGATTTTTAAAGTTAAAATCCGGGGTTCGATTCCTCGCGATGGACAGAGCGTAGCTAGCCAAATGTGTGGCTTTGTGCTAAAAACTAACAAACATTTAGAAAATATATTTCTTATACTCATCGTTAAATAACATACTATTTATTATAAATTATTACTTATTTTTAGCATTTTGAGCTCTACTAATATACTAACTGAAAAAAAAATAATATAGTTTCTAAGATACTACTAAATCGTTTTCCCTTTGAATTGATGCCGATAAACAAGTGAACTAACTCCAGTAAGAAATTGTACTTTAATTGTTTGTATTTTTCGTAACACGGAGGACATTCATATGAATATTATAAATATATTGTATTATACTAATCTGTCTACACCATCACCTCCTGAGGGTCAGTGGTAAGCTTACGGAGTTATAGTTCTAAAGTTTAGAGTTTGATTCCCCATGGTGGACAGACGCACAGCAATCCCATTGTGTATCCTTACACTAAGAAGGCAACAAGAACAACGTACATAAAAGATGTAGGGGGTTCCAAGAAAGTTACGTAACATAATGTTTTGGGACAACATTGGACCTATTGGTCCATCTCGACTGTTCCATCCTCTAAACTAAATT